TGAGTCCATTTATATGAGCATGAAGAATAGGCAAATCCATGAGAATACACAGTAGTCTAATGGTTGCTAGAGATGGGGGTGAGATGGAAGAATGACTGCTAAATGGGTGTGGAGCTGCTTTTGGGGATGACAAAAAAGTTTTGAAAGTAGAGATAGTGACTGCAAAAATGTACTAAATGCCAACAAACTATACACTTTAAAATGGTCAGTTGTGAAATATCACATCAGTCCAGAAGAAGCCTGCTAAAAAGACAGTGCAGCAATTTGTGATAGGAATTTCACCTCAATAAAAGTGTAAGTCCGAATAAGCAAATCGTCTGTACACAGATGAAAAGGAGTTCAACTTAATTAATAATCAGGCATGTGTTCATTAAAACCATAGTAAGATTCTAATAGGTACCCATTAGAAATGCTGAAATTGTGTCCAGTGCCCAGGCCAAGTGCTGGCGAGAGCAGGAAGAACCAAGGCCTCTCACGGCCACATACGGGAGAGCATCCCAAGACCCAGGACTCCGCTCCCAGAGCAGAAGGAACTCCACCTGCACATGCACGGACAGCCACACCGCCAAAAACGGTAGCAACGCAAACGCTGTTGCAGAAAAAGGGTTAAAGAACACTTGGATACTGTGTGGAACGGCCATGCAAATGAACTAGCTGCAGCCACACACAGCAACATGACCAAATCTCAAAAGCATAATATTTCGTGAAGAAACCAGACACTGAAGAAAGCAGCTTGCCCATCAGAAGTTCAGCATCAAGCAGAACGGAGCTTCAGAATTTAGGGCACACACTTCAGTAAGCAGTAAAGTTACTTGGAAAAAGGAAGGAGGCGGTGACACAAAAGCCAAGGTGAAGCTTATCTCTGACAGGAGGGCGGGAAAGACACAGCCTAGGGTGGCACGGAGCTTGGGCGCTGGCCTGTGCCCGACCTGCCGGACAGGACCTTTGCTCCAGGGCAGACCGCTGCACTGTCCTTTCAGCAGGCCCTGCTCTGAGTAGATGCGATGTTTCACAATAAAGCAGTCTAAGGCAAAGCAGTTCACTAGCACACCGCAGCAATTTATTAGCAGGAACAAATTATAATAACACCACCCACGTCCCAGGAACAGCTGCTTAGCCCCAAACAGCAGGTACTATACTCTAACTGCACAGTAAAATCGGGGACAGCAAGGGGCAGTGCTATCCTGCAGCCAGCCTTGATCCACTAGGTCACAGGGGCCACTCAAGAGACACCTCACTGACAGGAGTCTCTGCACATGGGACCCGATGAGTACTGGTGAGAAGAGCTGCAGGAAAACTGCATCACAGTTGCCTGTGACCCTGCCCTTTTCCCTGTGAACTATGAGGAGCGCCTCAGGCAGTGCAATGCCCACCTCCTTTCTGTCCCCAGTCACCTCGAGGCTGATGGAGTCAGTGCTCAGTGTGTATTTGTTGAACTCAACTATGTGGAATAATTAAACCTCATGCTAGGTAAAGATTGTTTTGTTTCCCAATGTTTTAAACTAGAAGGAACATAGTGAATCTTACCTCCCCACTTTGCAGATGGGAAAACTGAGGCTCAGGAAAAGGAAAGTGACTCATTTCAGTTCACAGAGGGAGTCAGTGGTGAAAGCCACATTTCCCAATGTTTGGGATATTTTCTGGTAGGGAACTGTGAGGAAGAATATCAGGAAGCTTACAAAGATCCACTTTTCAACAAATCCATGATCTACAAATCATCGAATACCCATCCATGCCAATAAGGACAGCCTCACCCTGGGCCCACAGTGACATTCCTGGAGAAACATGAGGGTCAGTGAAGCTGGAGACCTGCAGGTGCAGGTGGACCTGGCTGGAACTCAGGCTCTGTTCTTCCAGCAATGGGCCACTCGGGAGCACCAAACTGTGTGCCAGCTCTATGCCAGCCTGGCTAGCAGCTCTGCCAGGATGCCCTGCCAGATCTGGAGTCTGTGTGCCTTGGGAAAATGCCTGCTTCTGTTTTCATAAATGCCTTTGCTGAAGTACAGAATACATTCCATGAAATTCAGCCACTTCAGGTGTGCAGTTAAATGAGTTTTAGTAAATTTATATTGCACAAGCATGAGCACAGTCCAGCTCTAAAATATTCCCCCAGAAAGTCTCCTCCCACTTGCAATCACTCCCAGCTTCTATCCCTGGCCCAAGCAACCACTGATGTGCTCTATATCTCTGTTGTTTCTCCTTTTTAGAAATTCCTTGCAAATGAACTCTAACAATGTATAGTTTTCTATGTCTGGCTTCTTTTACTAAGCTTATTGCTTTTAAAGTTTTTCTATATTGGGGCATAGATCTGCATGTCATCTCTCTTTCTGGCTGAATAGTATTTCATTGAAAGGATGTACCACGTTTTGTTTGCCTCTTCACCACCTGATGAGCCAGTTTGTTTCCATTTAGGGCCATTATGGAGAATGCTGCTATGAGGATTTACAGAGGAGCTGTTGGGTGGACATATGTTTTTTTTTCATTTAAGTAGATTTTTAGGAGTGGAGTCGCTAGGTTGTAGGGTAAATGTTATGTTTAACTTTTAAGGAAATGCCAGATCCTTAAGATGCAACAAACTCATAACTTACAAACTACCTGACTTGAGGGCTGAGCATAGCGGTTAAGAGCACAAATTCTGGAGCCAGACGACCCTCTGACTCCAAACTGTAATTGCCTTTGGATAAATGACTTTGTGCCTCAGTTCCCTCTTCAGTGAAAAGGGTATTGAGTGGGGTTGTTGTAAAGACAGAGGGTTAACTCACACAAAGCGCTTAGAACTGCGCTGCCTCAAATTAGTGCTCTATGGGTTTAGCAACTTTTCCAATAGCCAGGTGAGCAGCAGCCCCACGCAGACAGGTAGGGCTGTCATGGATCAACCCAGGAACAGCTGTGTAGCTTTAGGCAAATCACACGCCATCTCTGAGCCTGCTCTGGGTGGTGGACCCACGCTGTGGTGGAGGGTGAATGTTGCTCTGTAAACTGCACAATGCCGTGCAGATGCAATGGGCTCACGGCATGATCATGACACTTTGATGATAGGGCTCACGGGAGACTGGGGTCCCCAAAGCCCTTTCCATCTGGGAGGTTCCTCTAACTGAATATTAGAATGCTTAACAGCAAGGATGACGAGTCAGACTTCGTAGTTCAAATCCTTCTCCAGGCTCTCAGAAGCTAGGATGACATGTGACCTCAATTTTTACATTTGAAAAACAGTGACAGTAACGGTCCTCGGTCCCCACCTCCTGGAGAGAGGGGAAGGGTTGGATGAATGAAACAGGAACGTGTTCACACTCCACCTGAACATACAATGTGTTTTATGAGTGTTAGCCATATTAAACTGCACACAAACTTTGGATGGCTCACATTTCCAGGAACTCGCCTCAGATTCCTAAAGGGGTGGTGAATACCAGGAGTTGTAAACGGCCCTCCTGAGGGTTTCCTGGCCCTCCCTTTTCACATTATGGATGGGAACAAGACTTCCTCTGGGCCAGGAGCAGTCCTGCCCTAACATCAGGGGACCAGGCTACAAACTCAGGAGAGACACCAAAGTTTCTTTCCCTAGACCCCTTCCTTTTGAGGCAGCATGGGTGGTAGCAAAACTCACAGAAGACCACAGAACCTGAAGCTGCCACTGCAGCTGAGTTGGCAGTGCCCAACATCACATGTACAACTGCAACATCCTGCCATGGGCCGTGGTGCTGAGAGGCCAAAACTATGCTCCAGCTGCCCTTTGATCTGTAAGAAACGCCAGGCTGGACACTCAGGCAGGAAAAGCTTTCCCTGCATTTGGGTCCCAGTAGGTAAGTCTGGGCTGTCTCAGACTTCATCAAGCATACAAAGAGGTACCAAAGGCCACCCACTCAACCTCCAGCTTCCTTTGGGGACTACTGGCTGTTCCCCGGTCTTCCCACTCCCATTATTCGATTGAGGCTGTATACTAATCTCTTAAATCCAAAAGGGGTCAGTGGGAGGCTGCTGTTCAGAGAGCCTCCCTGGCCTGCAAGAGTGCATGGCTGGCAAGGACAGGAGCCTGGAGCCCCAGGTCCAAGTTCTAGCTTTCAGGCCGGCCACATCCAAAGCCTCTCCCAACCTCAGCATTGTGATACCCTGCCCTGCCTTCCAACACACAGTTCCTGCAAGGATCGAGCGGTAACTCCTACCACTTATTTTGTGCCTGCTATGTGCTAGGAGCATAGGAAGAAAATTCTTTCTAATTTCTCCTTTAATCTTCACAGCATCCTTAGGAGGTAAGATAGTCTAATTATTCCCCTTTTCAGATGTGGAAACTGAGGCACAGAGAGGTGAAATCCTTTGTCCAAATTTACACAGCCCAGTCAAATCCACAGGCTCTGTTCAGACCTTAATAAAGACCCATTTTAACTCAGACTCGGCTATTCATTGAGCAACCGCTCAGTCTGGGTGGGGAAACTGAGGCCCGGAGAATAAAAGAGACCACATTCCCCGGCTCTGGGGCCCACAAGTTTTTCTACAGCCTGTGGTGCTACTGTCCACAATGGATATGATCCTCTAAGTAACTCGGAGCTAAATTCAGCACAAGAGCGATTCAGCTCCGTAATTTCTGGCTCGGCAAAGTGGCCAGGTGCTCCTGTCGGTGGTCACTCTTCGGCCCCTTTGTACCGGGAGGACACCAGACCTGCCCGTGCCGGGAGCCAGCCAGCGCGCACAACCTGAGCGCAGCGCAGGGTGCGCTGAGGGCTGTCTCTGCTGGCGCTGTCACTGTGCTTCCAAAGTCTCTCTCTGCCCAAAAGTGGAGGCGCTGCGCCAAGGTTAGACACCTCGGCTTCCTGGGGACCCTGTTGGCAGCTGGAAGCCCCGCACCGCCCCGAGGAAGCCGCTAGCAGGACCGCCGAGCGCACGGTGCGGCGAGGACTCCCTTTTATGTCCAGGAATGAGGCGCGCAACGCAGCGGCCCCCGCCACCCAACCAACTTCCCCAGGGCGCGGAGGCAGCCGGTGCCACCCTCAGGCTGAGACGCTTACCTGTCGAGGCGCGCGTCCCGGAGACAGCGGACAGGAGCGCGGAGGTGGACAGCAGCAACCGCAGGCGCCAGTTGCTGCAAGAAGGCGTAGAGGGAGAGCAAGTGAGGCGGGAGGTCGGATGGGTGGGAGGGCCCCGGGGCGAGGGAAGCGGGTCCCACCTTGGCGCCATGGCGCGGGTCTGCGGAGCGCTCGAAGGCGCGCGGCGGACGGAACACAGCGGAAGGCTCCGCAGAGGGCGAAGACCGCTGAGCGCTGCCGCCGCGCTCGCGCTGCCCGCGGGGAACAAAGGCGGTGCTGGGCTGCGACGGGGTCTTGGCTCACAGTTGCCGGCTTCCTGAGTCACCGCGCTCTGAAACCCGACTCTGCAGCGCCCTGCGCTCGTCCGCGCGGAGCCCCACCTCGGGCAGCGGCGGCGCACTCGGCCAGCCCGGGATCCCCGCCGCGCCGGCGTCCCCACGCCCCTTTCCCCAGCCACGGATGCGCGCTCCGCGCTGCGGCTTCCACCCCGACGGCCTTACGTAATATGCGAAAAAAGCCGGGAGTGCCCCCCTCTGGGCAGTCCAGACCCACCCCCACACCAAGTCTGTCCCCGTCTAGGCTTCCCTGCTGGATAGGCCACTCTCCTTTCACCTCAGTAGCCCAGAGAGGCTGGTTTCTTCACGTGACAGACCAGGACACTGAGATGGGGCGGGGTGAGCATCCCAAGATCACGCAGCTGGAACGAGCTCCTGATCCAGGAGTGCCCAGGAATGGCCGCATCCTTGCAGGTCGTAGGTGACACATATAACTAAGATCTCAAAGGCCATGGGGTTCCCGAGCTGTTTGGAATCCCAGAACTTTACTACAAACAGACTCCTAAAAGATCTAATCCAGCCATCCCTCACCCGTCTCCATTGTACTGATGGGGAAACTAGGCCCAGAGAGAGGATATACTTTACCAAGTCACCCACCCAGTGATTGTCAAGAGAAGGCACGAGAGAAGGAAGGGGACTGGAAAAGGCCTTCAAGTGTTGCAGAATTCATGCAGTCAAGGGTCCTCATAGGATACATCTGAGTTCCGTGTCATTGAAAGAGCTACGAGTTTGGGTTCTGGGGTTACACTAGATTGAATCCTCGCTCTGCTGTGCATGAGCACAGCCACGAGCACGTCTTTAAAATGGGGCTGAGAAACCTTCTGTCCTGTGGCAAGACTCGAGGTGTTGCTGAAATGGGAAGCATTTATCAGAGCGCCTGGAGCAGGATGGGTAGTGCTTGCTCGTCAGCTTCTGTTGTTAATGCTGAGCTTACCATCAAGGCTGCAGCCCGAGAGGCCACACTTGGCAAGGAGAGGCGGAACCCTGGACAGAGGTCTTAAAGATCTGACGCACTGAGAGCTAAGCAGCGGTACAGCCAGGGCGGCTTGGCGTGGAGATAACACAAAAGGCCAAGTACGTTCCAACCAAATTATACACTGAGGGCTTCCTTAAAATCTGTTCACATTCTCTCCCACTTGTAGTCTCTCTAATGGGCATAATTCTATTTCATTATGAACCATTCACCATAGGGACTCAGTTTTCTCCATCCTGTGTTTCTCTATTGCTAATAAAATACCACATCAACTGGGAATATAATTGACTTTCTTAGAACTATATTTCTCCATTGCTTAGGAAAAGCCACATCAGCTATGATGACATAGTTGTTCTGTGGTTCTTTCTGACAGCTAACATCAGAGATTGTAAAGCGGAAACAACGCTTTTATAAGGAGGGGAAGAGGGGTTGAAGGGAGGGGAGGAGAATGGGGAAAAAAGAAGAATCAAGATATATCACGTGCAGGTACAAATTCTCTATGATGAGTGTGATCACTATCTACATCTAAAGTGTACCAATAAAATTAATTAATAAAAAGAAAAACTAACCCAGAGGTTGTAAACTGGTGGTCATCCGCTCAGTGGAGCTTATAGACATGCCAGGTGTCAACCTCCAAATTGAATTGAATTAATTAGCGATATTTCATAATTAGGAAACTGTGTGTTAAAATCCAGATCTGGTTTCTCCTTAAGATTTGGGAAAACCTCACACCATGTTGCCATGTTCCCTGGCTGCCAGCAATTGATTGGTATTAGTTATTGGCTGCTGCCTTCCGATTAGGCAATATTCTTCAGTTTGTCATAGTCCCCACTGCCCCTCACTGTTCTCAACACCTAGGCTAAGAATCAATTTGCCATTTAGCAGCACATTTGCACTCTAGTCCTTGTTTATAAGAAAAAGTGGAATAGATGAAGTCTCATGTTCCTGTTTAAAAATGGGTAAACCAAAGATAGAGCTAAATAAAATGGGGAACAACTTTTTTCTACATGTTTAATATACAAATAAAGTGTGTCTGCCTTGAAAAGTATGAAAACCAAGTTGCCGTTATGAAATCAACTTGGCCTGCCTAAGTTATGTCTGTTACCTGCAGGATGAAGGCATAGCTGTGTTTTCATTGGTGGGCTTGATGTTCAATTTATGAATCTAAGATACACATGGATAGGGCAGAAGATTTCTTTACAACTTGAGAAGGGAAATTCTATGTGCACATTTCATAGTTTTTGGTTCTGAATAAGTACCTGACATTCAATTCACTAGAACCTAAGGATGAAAGTCTCTGCAGGTCATTTCTGCCCTACAAGTGACTGGAAAAAGATGAATGTCGGTGTTGATTTTATATCATTTTCACCTGGGAAGCCAGACGATGTACATAGACAAGGAGGGGTCTCATTTTGGAGTTTGGCCTAGAAGAGGGAATCATGACCTCTGCTTGGTGGAGGACAAGGGAGGGTCTCAGGCCTGGGAGTTAAAGCTGAAGGGGGAGGGGGAGCTAAAGGGGGAGGGTGCAAATGGTCCCAGCTGTGAGTGTGGGAGAGATGGATGCAGGAAGCCAAGCCAGGCATTTCGTCTCCTGCCAGACAGTGTTGTGAGGGCTTAAGCGATTTCCTTCCATTCAGTGTGAAGTAGAAATAGCCAAGAGGAAGCATCATGTCATACCCAAGCTAGTCTAAATTGTTTACCATCATTCAGTATGATCTGTAAGAGTTAGATGTGTGGAGACAAGGGATTTTATGTCCCAGATCTTCCAGGACTCAACTAAATTAAGAGGCTATTCATGTTCCTATAATCCATGCAAACATTCCAGAAAACTCTGTATCCAAAAGTGTTTCCCAGACTGTCTTAAGCAGCTGGGAGTGGCACAGAAATCTATGAGAAGAAATCTTTCCAAACTTGGTTTGGAAAGAAGTTACCAAGAATATAGGGTGCCTCATTCTGAATTTGAGTTTCTTCTGTGCATGAGTATGATACCCCCTTGTGAAGTCCTGGCGTGAAAGTTCACAGAAGATACCCAAAGCTTGCACCATCATATGATTTAATGAGTGAAAAGGCAGAGTAGACTGTATTGGCTGACTGGCAAAGAACTTACTGGAAGTACAAAAAGAAAATGGCTGCTTTCTGGATAACTGAGAGAAAACAACCACAGTTTAAACCCACTACTACCTTCTAAGAAGGACCCTTTCTTGATGATGAGCACCATAGATTGAGAACAGTTAATTCATTCAGCACAACAGAGAATGATAGATTTGAAAATCTGACCACCCAAGTGGGAAAAGGACATACCTACACACACACGCACACACAAAGGGAAAAACAGAAGACAGGATGTATCAGACACCCATGATGCACCACTGTCAGTATCCTGTCCACAACTCCCTCTTCTGTCTCTTATGCATGGTGGCCATCTTCTGACACAGCAGCTGTGTCCCTTTACCTGAGCGCATTCCCTGGCCCCTGGAGCCTGCTCTGCCCACAAGCAAAGCAGAGTTAGCTCCCCTACAAACACACATGCAAGCAGCTCTCAAGCAGTAACCAGCAGATACTGCTGGATAAACACCTCCGCTCTTTCACTCAGCTGGTGGGAACATAAAGTCTATGTCATTTCCTCACTCCCCTCCAGAGTTTCTTGGAAAAGCTGACCAAATTAACTTCTCACCATGGAATCCTTGCCTCAGGCTCTGCTTCTGGAAGAATCCAAATTAAAGTGTCATTTCAGATTCTGTTACCCTTCCCTTTTCCAGGGTCTTTGGCCACTTGTATTAGGCCCAGTCCCCGTCATGGTGACCCGGCTATCCCTGGACTCTCACTAATACTGGTAGGTAAGCTCACAGCCCTTGCCTCATCCCACACCACATGCTTTCACCCCAGGCTTCCCTGCTGATAAGGAAGTGTAACACGCTCACAGTCTTTTCAGCATCCTAGCAAACTAGCTGCAAGTGAGTTGTAAATTACACCCAGGAGGGAATTTTTAGCCAGTGGACTCCAGTAAATACATTTCCCTCCCTCCCTCCTCCATATGAAAATAATGTAAGAAAATATTTTCCTAGACATCTTAGAAGATGGTCTCCCAATGCTGAGTGACTGGTCATGTCTATTGCCTCTTATAGGTTCTCCCTCCTTCCCTGCTTCACAACCCTTTCTTTCCCTTCCTCCCTTCAGATGCCTTCCTGGACATCACAGAGGCACATAAAGCCTTGCTCTGAGGTCATGGCCTGGGTAACAACCCTTTCTTTCCCTTCCTCCCTTCAGATGCCTTCCTGGACACCGCAGAGGCACATAAAGCCTTGCTCTGAGGTCATGGCCTGGGTAACCCTGGACAAGAGATGCTAGAGTTTATCTCCCACACTTAGGAACCCTCACACATCTTAAAAAGCTACCTGAGGTAGTTGTCACTTCCTGCTCACTGGCACCAGTTAACATGATGTCACCAGGAAAGGGGACCAGCATTACAGCCTAAGGTGTGTCAGAACATAAGTCTCTATGGACTATTATGACACAGAGCAGGGGAATTAACACACCCCTGGAGGCAAAACCCTGAATATGTACTACTGTTCTTGGCATGAAAGTGAATCTTTTACAACCTTCCCTGTCGTTGTTTTTGCCAGATCGTGTTGTATTTAGTGTGCTAAAGGCTCTGTTGCTTCTCTGTAAACATTCTACATCTGCCATGGCAGCTGCAGTTGATGCTCCCATCTGGACAAGTTTATGGCAATCTACTATCATCTGCCACAATGCATTTGGCTCTTGCAGGTCCACATATGTGAGTTAATGGAAATATTAAAAAAAAAACAAAACCCTACCTTACCTGCACCATGTGAGTCTTAGTGGTGGCTCTAATCTCTAAAGTATTTCCTGGGAGGCAGCATTTTTTCTTATCTACTCTCTCAAAGTAGAGGAAAGGAGATAGTTTCAAGGACTTCCACTTGACTTTTCTTCCTAGACATCAGTCAAGTTACTAATGTAAGGGCTCTACAGAAGTTCACTATATCTGTTTCAATTAGATATTTGAGATCAGGCCTAAGCTGATGTAGGAAGCACCAGTAAATTTTGTGAACAGGTAACCTAGACTCCCATGTCGCCTACTGCTCTGCAACAAACAACACCCCCTTTTCTAGTCACACTGAAGGCTTCATGGGTGGTTTTCTACAACCTGTAAGCAAAGGAAGAGAGAATGCAGTTGCTTCACTCTGCTGTGTCAGTACTGGTTGAAAATGAACTGTTGCTGTAATGTAGCCTTCTCAAGGG